GGGCAGAGAGCGGCTGCCACCATTACCTTGTAAACGCAGCCCAGTGACGGCTGCAGGGGACACGTCACCAGGTTCGTCCCGACGCCGATCACGTCAATCTCGCTCCCCTGGTGCAGCAGAGAAGACAGCGGCCATCAACAGCCCAGCCTTGCCACTGGGTTTTAAGCCCGTACCAAAAACCAGAGCCAAGGGGCAGGTCAGAGGATGTTCTGTCCGAGGGTGCCCTGTGTCTGTCCCACCCAAAAGCCTTTTTTTTCTTCCCAGCCTGGAAACTCTTCTCTGTTCCCACCCAGGGAGCAAAGCCCAGGTGACTCTCACGGCCACCCCACGCACCCCAAACCTCAGCGAAAGCCAAGGTGACGTCTCGTCCCTGACAGCAGCGACCTCACCTCCTGCCTGAACTCCTCCAGGCTCTGCTCGCTGATGTCATTGCTGACACCGATGGGGATGGTCTCAAACCAGGGCACCTGGAAGCTGGCGAGAGGCAGGGAGAGTGAGGAAGGGAGGGGATGCAGGGGCTCCCACGCTGGCAGGAGGAGGCAGTGGGTGCCCACGGTGGGGACAAGCAGCGGCTTGGTGGGGGGACTCACTGAGCTTTTTTTGAGCACTCGGCGGATCTCCTTGGACTGCTGGGCCAGGTCTCCGCTGTCCAGGCGCACCCCAATGGCCCGGTACCCCAGTTGGTGCAGGGCCAGCGCTACGGCACAGAAGTTGGGCAAGCCGCTCCTGGCGTGGGCAAGGAGAGGGTTAGTGTCCCTTGCCTGGTGGGACAGGGACCCACGTCGGCTCCAGCAGCGGGTCCAAGCCTTGCGTCAGGCTACAGTGAAGGAAACATCCTCGCTTCGAGGCCACCCAGCGAGGAGGAACGTGTCTGTCCCCTCTGCCACGGTGGCCGTCTCACCTCCTGACGCAATATGTGTCCAGCAGCCCCTGGAAGTTGTGCGGGAAGGTGACGGCGTAGGACACAAAAGCGGCCAGCTCGCCCCGGTTGGCCGCCTCCGGGGAGGCTCACACACCCGCTGCAGCCACAACTCAGCCAGGGCCGGGAGATCCACCGGCTCTCCTCCTGCCAGCGGCACCAGCTCCTACCCGGTGGGGGCAGAACATGAGCTTCGCACACCCCATGGCATCTGCCATGGCGCCGGGAGTGCGGCCATGGGTGGAGGGTCCCGTCCCCATCCCCTGCCCCACACGGTGATGCTCACCCGGGGCTGCACCTCCTCCAGCGAGGCGAAGGACATAATGAAGGAGTGGGCGATGGTGCCGTGCACCGGGATGCCATAGAGCTTCCCCGCCAGGATGTTACTGGTGCAGTCAAAGCCTGCAAGGAGGGACAGAGGAGACACACCGAGTGACGATGGCACAGCCGCGGTGCCACAGGGCACTGTGGGGCAGCACTCACCCCCGATGTAGGAATACTTGGAGGCCGAAAGGGCGCCGTCCGGCCCCTGAGCGCGACGGAGCCCCATCTCCATCAGCTTCATGTCCGGGCCAGCAAGGAGTCGGAAGCGGGCAGCGTTCGTGGCCACCAGGCTGGGGGAGGAAGGGAGAGGTCACACCAAGCTGTGGAGCCAGCACACAGCCAAGGCGGGGGGCTATGGGACCTCCCCCCCCCATCTCAGCCAATGTGTAGGGACATGGCAGGGACCACCGCAGGACTCGGAGAGTTTGGCACAGCAGGGAACCAGAGCAGGATGTGTCCCTACCTGGCATAGCTGACCAGGCACAGCAACGTGGTCTCCAGCAGCTGCACCACCAGCAGTGGCCCCTTCACCTGCAGGAACGGGACCTGCGGGGACAGCCCAGCGGTGACGTCCCCGTCCGTCCTCCCCAGGGACACAGGAGCCAACGGCCCCGCAGCCCCTCCAAAGCAGGGGAGGGTACCAAGCGCGTCCCACCCTGGCGAAGATGACGGAGCCTTCAGGCACGGCAGAGACGGTCACCTCGGAGGCATCCAGGGTGGCCAGGTAATCGAAGAAGGCATCCTCCACGGTGCTGGGCAGGACGGAGCGCAGGTAGGCGACGTCTGTGGGGGCAGAGCTCCGTAGTCACCGAGGTGGGTGGTCCCCCCGGGCCACGGTCCTGTGACACAGGTCAGGCTGGAGGGACCGAGCCTCCCGTGCCAGGGACGGGTGAGAGTTTGAGGGCAGAGGCCACCTCACAGCACACCCCCCCCCAGAGAGAGAGGTGCGGTGAGGTAGGGGGTACCCTCGCCCTGGGAGGGTACCATGGCCCCCCCCGCCCCCAAGTCCCCTCTGAGGGACTGCCCATGGGAGCACTGTCCTCCAGGAGGGTGTCCCAGTGTCCCCCAAGTTTCACTGAGGGCTGTCTGTGTCCACCCCTCTCTGTCCCTCTGTCCCCCCACAGGTCTCACTGAGGGGTTACCCTGTCCCCCTGAGGACTCTCTCTCCACTCCCTTGTATCCCTCTGTCCCGCAGTGAGCTGTCCTTGTCCTCCAGATCCCCCTGAGGGGTTCTCCTGTCGCCCCCCAGGTCCCACTGAGGGGCACCCCTGTCCCACTGAAGGGTTCCCCTATCTCTTTGAGGGCTGTCTCTGTCCCCCTATAGGTCCC